ATATTATAATAGATTAGAGTACTACTTGAACTCTAAAATATAATTATTTTATTTTTCCATTAAAAAAAAAATAATTTTCTTTTACTGATCAGCAAGCCAAAATGTTTAGGTACCCAACATATTATTTGGTACTAAAAGGCTCCAAAAACCATAATCAAGAATCTAGGACCATTTTTCCAGTTGGTGGTGGGGATGAATGTTATTAATACTTTCTGAAGAGTGCTTACCAAACAATATTGTGGTAGGGTTTTTTGACATAGATTAATGAAACTTTTGCAAGTTCTTAATCAAAAAGTACTCTACCCCTCGTTCTATTCTATTATTGTTATACACTTTATGCTTTTAGTTACCTTTTTTTCTCTCACAATAGCATCCATCCAATTCCAACCTAAAATCAATAAGACCATTGAAAATCAAGCTAAAAAGATGTAAAAGAATATACAACATGGGCCTAACACATGACAATAAAAGTGGCCAAATCAGGAATAAGTCAATATCAAACATGGACTCGAATATCATAATCTATTATAATCAACCTAAAAACTCAACTTATTTATTAGGCACAGGAGATTGCACTCTTACATTTCAAGGGTAGATGGAAAGGAGTCCAAAATAATTCTAGAACCTCTGACCAAAAGAGTTTCTTACTAAATTACTAGCTCTTTTAGGTTCTCCTTGTGATATATTCACCTCCTCTCATTACTGTTGATCTAGTGTTTGCATAGCATCTATCCTTTGTCTTTTATCTTTGTTTGTACTTACATGTGGATTATGTTAGGATGAAAGTCTTTGTCTTTTTTTTCTTTTCTTTTTTTCTTTTTTTTGGGAGGGGGGGTGGGATAAACTAAAGTAAATTCAAAAAAATAAAACAAGCAAAAAACATCACAGTCTGGGGTATTCAAACCCCATAATATCCGAGGCTTATTTTTAAAATAAATAAAATTTCACTTAAAAAAAAAACTTATTTATTAGGCCTAGGAAAACACAATACTTTACTGGTTTGATGTGAACTTTTCCCATGCTCTCCTTAATTTTCAATGTCATGTCTATTGTCTAGTTACTATAAACTGTTGGGACCTCTTTATTTCGTCCAACAATGCATGTGCCGACAGTCGGCCCAGCTGTTAAAGGAAATAACCATTCTTCTCCTAGGCCTAGTTCATATTTTCTGGCCCGAGGACAAAGTTGATTGGCCCAATCTTTTGGTTTCCGAATATAATGTCATTATATTAAAAGGGAATGTTGCTTTGCAATATGTTTAGGCAGACTTTACTTCTTTTTAATTATTGATGGAAGAGTAGGTTCTCAATATTAAACTGTTTATTTATTTATTAATAGTTATAAAAAATGTAATTTACTTTATATTTATATTTTTAAAATTAAATTGCATTATTATTTTCAATTCAAAATATCTTATTTTTTAATTAGGAAGTTGAATCTTAATAATGAATTAAGAAGAGATTAGTCAAATTAATACTCATTATCATAAAAACTTTAATTTATGATCAATATCGAGATTTAAATTGTCATAAAAAAAAACACAATTTTAATCATTACATAAGGATAACCCTTTTAATATTGGGAATTCCTTTTATTATAATATTGGGAATTCCTTTTCTTATATAATAATTCTTATTTTGTAGGTTAAATAATTTTGTATAAATTAAATTATAAAATAAAAAACTCTTAAATTTTTATCAAATCAACTAAAAAAACTTTTGATGTAAAAAAATGAAAATAAAATTTAATTAAATAACAAAAATAAGGGAATGAAGAATAATTTTGGAGAGCGGTGCCTCTCCTAAGGTTTCTTGACTCGAGCAGAGCGGCTTCCCCCCCACCCCCCTCTCTCCTCGATTCTCTTTATCGCTCTCTTTTATCCTACTGTGGCATGGACCAAAACCCGAATCCTAAGATCACCATTTTCACATGCATTTTTGTGTGACAGTTGAACCACAATTTCCCATGTGGAAATATCGAAGTTGATTCGATATCTTGACCCATCACATCATGCTTAATTAAGATAAAGTTCCTCATGACGAGATGCAAATTAGTAGTCCTAATTACATCGTTTACAAAACTAAGGTTTCGTTCAGACTTGACATCCCAAATGATTCACCAGCCGAAAGCTATAAAGCTTCGTGTCTTGAATTCAAATGTACACACTGTCATTCTCCACCTCTGGAATTATCCTTGTTTAAAGGATAAAATAATATAAAATAAAATAAAAACACACAACGAAGGTTTCATGCTCATGGGTTTGGTTAGTCCCACGATCGCTTGTTTATTGAATCCGAAGCCTTTCATGTGATATATACAAACATTCTTTTAAAGTGTCACTCACAAATTCCCAAACAAGAAACACAATCTCTTCCCAATATCTCTTGGATTGGTGATCATTTTGTCATCATTCATTTACCCTTTTTCATGTTTCTCAACAAAGGAGGAGCAATTTCGACAAGACAACTAAGGCACATTTAACACAATCTTCATCCCTTTTGTATTATGCAATATGCATTGACCAAATAAGAGGACATAATTTAATGGGGCAATGGAACATGTTGAGTTCATGTTTTGGACAACTTTAAGTCTCGTGAAGTAAATTATGGGATCATTATTTACCCTTTTTCCTTTGTCACTTTACCTTTTAGAATTCTATCCCATTCCTTTTTCTCGAGTAATGTCTTATCGATTTAATTCTTTTAATCGAAAAAGTTAGAAAGATTAAGTTCGTTCGGGAGAATTAAATGCATGGTTCATTCAATGAAGACATTAAGGTTTGAAGTAGAATCGGATTTTGGGATGTCCGAAAAATGAAACAATGGTAAGGTTCTTGTCTCAGACAGGATTAATCTGAGTGGTGTCACGTTGTGCTTTATTGGAGTGGTTGGGAGTTGGAAACTTCCAGTCATTGCTTAGTTGTTGTCCTAATCCAGTTCTGTACAATATTCCTCAAGGTTTGTCTAAAGAGAGTCTCTTTCAGTAGAAGATATCTTAATTTGTAAGAGAATAAAAATCCAAGTTGAAGATCTATGAGTAAATTCAGGAAATAGAAATGTTACTCGGATGTACACAAAAAGGAATCTCTTTTTGTAAGAAATTTTCATGCAGGGTATATTGCTATGATATCAAGAATTTATTCGGTAGTTTACCCCCAAAAAAAAAAAAAAAAAAAAAAAAAACCCGATCCTTGCAGTTATCTTTTCTTGAAAGTTCCTCGATAGGGCCCAAACAGTGAGTTTCATATGGGAAGTAAAGCCCAGTGTCCTGGGGTGTATGCATTACATGGGCTTTCTACTAGGCCTAACATTACTGCAGGCGAAAGTCACCTCTCAACGGTACTAATTAACCTGCATGGCTGCATCCACTAGGTCTTGGGTCTATTGCCTACCCTGTACAAGAGCCCAATCTTTAATTCATTGTCTTGGACTTTTTTGGGCCGAATCATTCCCCTAGTAAATTTGTCAATTCTCCTCTTTCA